TCAAGTCCTGTGCAAAAACGCATGATCGCACGGGCCCGCCCGGTGCGTTCCAGCCTGGGTTATTTCAAAATACAGATTGTCGCATATCGGCACGATGTGAAATTGGACGTGGAGAAGCAGGGTGAAACATTCAAACCAGGCCTGGCATACAACGTTGTTATCACACTTAAGCAAATGGACGACACACCGGTTAAAGCAACGGTACCAAAACGTGTACAAGTAAGTTATACCTCTTTTTTATTAACCCCTCATGTTTCCTTTCTTGTAAACGAATTTTGTCCGGTGTTAATGTTTCGTACTCTGTTTGGAACAAGATCCCTTGGCTACCTGTTTCTTCCCTCAGATGAGCCTTAGTCAAGACCTAAAGCAAAGCCTTTTTTAGAGATTCTTTTGAAATAGAAGAGATTTCTTTTAGTCGGTACCTGCGATTTCGCAAATCCTAAGATGCCTAATCGTTTCTTCAGAAATTCTTGCATCACACAAAAACGTGAGAAAGAGAGGTTTAAGCCTGAAGCAATAACTTTTCTTTGAGAAACTATTGAAGCAAGGGAGAACTGTGCTGGCATCATAATTCAACATTAAAGAAGAAAAGAGGTGGTCAGTGGAAGGAAGGTGGCTTAAGAGCGAGTGCCGATGACCCGATAATACCCTCATTGTTCGCTTATTGGCGTTATTTTCATTGTTATTTCCTTCATAAATTTGATTGATAGCATTTTTCTTCTTTTAGATAGATATCTACTACAATTATCCATACGTACCTGATTCACCAAAGCAACACGAGGACAAAGAAGTGAAAATTGTGGACTTGGATGCCCATGGAACTGCCATTGTTAGCCTACAGCCTCCGATCAACTGCACTTACGCTCGTGTTGAGGTTAGAAAACATATCATTTCTTTGTCATAAATGCAAGGCCCCTACGAATGTCTTGCCAACGGACTGAATAGAGCCAGCCGTAGCAAGGTTATATCGGCATCCTGGCAATTTCCGGGGATTAAAGAAGGAACTGCAAAGCATTTTGTTCGACTAAGCTCAATCACCTTCCTGAACTGTATGTTACCTCATCGTGGTCCAAGAATAGCAGTTAGTCGGCTTATGTACATACTTCTGATCGATCCCTTAGCGTAGACTAGGAGTGCTGGTTATTCGGGCCTATTAATCAACTGCAAACCATCAAAAATAGCTTGCAGCAAACCAGAATAACCTACTTTATTAGGACCAATAGGACACTGAGACCCTCCTAAAAGATGACGCTCCAACAGCGTCAAAAAAGCTACCCTGCTGAACTGAGATGTACTTGCAGGCATATTACGATCGTTCCGGAAAGGATAACTTCACGGATGCGGCGATTTACTCGAGCTTATATATAGAGGCTGGCAAAAGTCCATCAAACAGTTTTCTGCAGCTGATTGCCGATCACAGCGGTGCTGTAGATGCCGGCAAAATGCTCTCATTTACTGTTAAAGCTACCGAGCAGTTATCAACTATAACCTACCAGGTCTAGCACTAATTTTGCCAAATAAAACTAAAATTAAATCTCTTTTTCTTAACGAAGTATAGTGTCTTTTGCAGTTTTTATGCGTTTTTTGCTGTGTAACAGCAATACAAAACGCATATTGTCACGGAGTTGTATGTGTGTGTGTGTATCCGCAGCAGCTTGTCCGCAACTTTCAACTCGGGAACCACAAAAGCTAGGAA